CACCACCACCACGACGATGATGATGATGATTGAGGATGAGGAAGAGGATGTCATCCAATTTATGGGTAAGCTGCTCAGCCTGTGGGAAGCCCATCTCTCTCACAAGTTGTTGAAGAGAAGCCTGGCCAAAATATTTTCTTCCTTCAGGAAAATGGATGATGACAGCAGGACAGTATTATGTAACCCACCACCAAAAGCTGTTCTGTGCACCTGGCTGTGAGGGAAGCAGGGTCAAACGCATGGCCAGAAAAGCTGCCTTTTCCAGTGGTAGCATCTCACTGGTTAGCCATCCACTATACTCCCTCCATATTTTTTTTTTTTTGTTAACTATCTACAAAATTGGAGTTTTCTCAATCTCACTAATATCTTATGCTTATATATGTACGTAAGAATCAAGGTGAACTAGATGATTATGAGAAGCCAACAACAATAGAAGAATGCTCACTCAGTCAGGTTTTCCAGCAACTGATACCAAAAGCATATGCCCGATACTGGAATTTACCATCATGATTTGTAATCTGTGATAGTCTTATTCTCTAGGAATTTGTGCATCCCATATTTGGTAGCAAATTCCAGTTAAGTTCCTGTTTATAAAGAGTCCTTCTTGTTCAGTAGTTCCCTTTTTTATATTTGTCATATTAAAAAAAATATGTGCAAAGAATCTTCAAGTTTTAATGTGTCAGCCCCATGAAGGACTTTTTGAAATTGGAATAGAATTACAGTATTCTATCACATGAATCCAGAAGCCATGTGAAATGGTGTTCATGCAAAAATCTACAGTGTATGTTGAAATAGATGGGTTTTGATGAGAGAACACAGATTTGTGTTTATTTGTATGGTTTGAAGTAACAATTAATGGACATATCATTTGCTATTAAAAGTAATACAATTTTGTGGATATAATGCCAGACAGTGCAGAATATGTCATTGCACAGGCCTGCTCAATTCTATAGATGACAAAAGATCTTTGGCTAATTATCATTTGTTTCCTATCCTATCTCCATGCAGCGTTGTGGCAATAAGAGAAGAAAGCATGGGGAAGGGTAAAATAAAAATGAAATAAATATTTATTTAATAACTAATGAAATTAAAAATAATATACATTTTAACTGATAGAATGTTTACACAACAGTGCCATTAATGGTTGCTATAAGGTCATCAGATAGCTAAGTAGCTGTTAGCTCATAAAATCCATTGTTCACAGGAGATTTAAGTAGACTTCTGCATATGAATAGCAATAATCACAACGGTTAGAAACTCATGGTTTAGATTTTTTAGTTAATAGTGGTAAAATATTAAATGTTTCCACATGATCCATCAAACATTGCAGATACTCACCACAGAGAAGCGTCTTTAAAACTGTTATCATGCAATACAAAGCTTATAAACCTTCAGTACTCAAATAGCAGTTTAATGAGTGTAGACCTCCATTTTGCAAAGTAGCAACTGATGAAGAAACCTACAATGCCATTTAAAAATGCTACTTCCATTATTTTTAACATGGGTATTCTTCAGGCAGGCACACATGGCCACTAAAACAGGAAGGAACATCATCCTCAAACCTGGTTCTAGTTATCTGGGGAAAGAGAGAGGGAAAAGTCTGGTTCTTACCTGATGTAGGAGAAGTGAAGTACCTGTGCCTTACCACAACCTACCAGTGTTGCAGATAAAGCAGAACTTTACCATGAATTACCATGAAAAATTCCTTTTCCACAGAGGATGAAGGACAAGCAACAAGAATAGCTTTCACAAGATAGGAGAACATATCCCTTCTCAGATACATAATGCTATTTATCTTAGTCTCAATATCCTCTTTTATGAAAATGATAAGATATCCTATATGAAATACAGAAGAACAATCCCATGTCAGGTGAATTCCTTCCTATGAAGATATTATGCTCTGGAGTATCTACCTTTTGAAGGAGCTGAGGAAATTGTTTCTAACTTGTGTGCCATACTAAAGTTAAAACTGATTTCCATGTGACAGCTCAAGAGAAATCAACCACTAGATGGTGATACTGAGGGCAGTAAAGGTACAGTGGTACCTCGGTTCACAAACTTAATTCATTCCGTGACTCTGGTCGTGACCCGGATTGGTCGCAACCCGAATCAAATTTCCCCATAAGGTTCAATGTAAAAACGGTTAATCCGTTCTGACCCCTACGAATTTGGTCATGACCTGATTTTTGGTCGCGGCCCGAATCAAATTTCCCCATAAGGTTCAATGTAATTACGGTTAATCCGTTCTGAACCATAT